CCCCTAGTAACTTGGCAAGTCCCTGGGGCAACAGTGTCCAATAAGAACTTTCTGCAATGATGGGAATGTTCTATTTTATCTAATATGGTGGTCAATAGCAACATGTGGTTGTTGATTACTTAAAATTCAATTAGTACCACAGAAGCACCAAGTTTTATTAAAATTTGATTTACATTAATTAAATTTGAATAGCCACATGTGACTAGTCGCTAGTCTTGCACAGCACAATTCTGTAGGTTTCTGAGCAGAGGAGAAAATGGATCTATATTTTAAATAGAAGGACTAGGCTACTGTGCTGAGAACCGACTTTAGAAGCACAAGGACAAATACAGGAAGACTATTCAAAAGCTGCTGCATAAATCACATGAGAACTAATGATGGCCTGGGCCAAGCTGATCGAAGGTAATGTGAGAAGTAGTCACACCCTGGATATATTGTGTTGAGAAATCAATACTATTTTTAGAAGGGATCAAGGTGAAATGTGTGAAGAGTRGTCAAGCTAAGAGCAACACTTATGACCTGGGTAATTACAGAGTTTTTCTTGGCTGGGATGGAGAAGAATACATGAGAAACTGGTCTGGGAGAAAAATCTGGGCTCCGTTTTGACAACTCAACAGTGAGATGATTATTAGATATCCAAGGAGAACCGACCAAAGAGACAGATAGATATACAGGAATGGARACTGGAGGGAGATCTAGTCTAGTTATAATTCATTTGAACATTATCAACATACTRGCAGTATTTTTAAACCATGAGACTACATAAAATTAGCTAGAAAGGGAGTAAAATAAAAACAAAAAGAGGTCCAATGATGATCCCTAGTAGTTAATCAAAACTAATGAAGATTATAAAAAACAATACTTATGCCTAAAGATTTAGTTTAATGGCTGAGTTGAAGGACAGGGGAAGATGGCAGAAGCAAGTGAGACAGTGGGTCCAACCTCTTCACAATAAGAAATGAGGCAGAGAAGGAAAAGCAGAATTGAGAGGTGGGTGACAAAATAAATGCTCTAAAGCATGATGTTACAAAGTCTGAGACTTGGAGAGGCTGGAAGATAGGTTACCAGAGTAGAAAACAAACTCTGTCCCTTAGCTTCTAACCTGAACCTGGGGATGGAGAAGGAGGAAGGGTCAACAGAGAGAGAAAGAGAGAGGGTAGCAGAAAATTTCTTAAGCTTACCCACTTAAAAATTGTTGGAAAGACAGACAAAATTTAAAGTGCAACAGTAACAGAAGGGTCCATAAAACAGTACAAACAGCTTAAAACCAAATCAGGAAAATAAAACTGGACCAGGGGTCTGAAGCCATCTTCTGGAGCCCTAAACCTACCAGTCACCCCCTTAAAATAGCAATGAGTCTTCCCACACCCAAGTTAAACCAGAAGGAACTCCTCTGCAGTGCAACCCCTTAAGAATCCAGCCAGAAAGAACTTTTAGAAGGACCACTACTAATTGAAAATTGCTGAAACCCTCTGTCTCCCCCTTACTGTGAACAGGGCACCTGGGCTGGGAGTTCTAACCCCACTCAGCCTCTGTGACCCAAGCAAGGATGGAAAGCTCTGTGTAGCATCCACTTGCTCCAATCAGAGAAAATAAGGAAGCAGGTTTGGCCCTGAACAAAGGAAAGCAGATTCACCTGCCCCAGACCACTGGAACTAGGGAGAATATACCCTGGGTTGGGGGAGACAGTCCCTGGGATCCCAGAACTGTACTATAGGGAAGCTCTCTGAATATCCAGTGATGTAGAGGCCCAGCAGTAAATTATTAGAGTCTATGCAGGAGGAAGGGCTGATCCCAGCCTTAACTGGTACAGACCTTGACCCATGATCACAACGGGCAAGTGACAGGGAATAGTTTGGACACTTGAGGGAAATTGCATCAGACTGAATAACAGGGAATCAATGCCTGTCCTTCACAATCTGGGGTAGTGGAAACTAGAGTCCAGGTGAACCATCTGAGACCCTTTACTATAAAGTACCTCAGGGAGTGGCAATGGCTGGAGTAATACTTTTGTATTAGAGAACACCCACAGAAAATCCACAACCAGAATTCCTGCACTCACAGACAGCCACCAGAATTTTCACTATCATAAAAAGGATCCAGTAGAGGGGAGCAGGTACATGGTGACCCATAGCAATCACAGRGACACTCCAGAGCCTACATTCTGAACTACTGTACACAATAGGAAGAGCCAACCTACAACACTGCACCCTCCCAGTAGTCAGCTGCAGGCCCCTTAGCTGACAACCAGAATCTGCAGAAAGGAGGTTCAAAGCAACTAGGGAATTGGCTCCTGTGCCCTTGCAATTCGGGAGAAATCCACAGCCAAAGACAAATGGATATCTGCTAAATGACTTAACCTCAATGAAATCCAAACCAAGACTCAGCAAAAATTTTCTTCACATTGACATGGTTTATATAAACAACTTGTAACTTTGATCATATAAAGAACTCTTTAACTCAAACAGTAATTGTCAACCCACAATAGCCAACATCGTACCTTCAACCCATTTGAATGTATTTCATCCAATGATTTAAAGCATTAAATAGAATGAAACCTCCTATCTTTGTTATCCAAGATCTAGTTTATACTTGCTCCTCTTACACAATACTCATCCTCTCGCATTATTTGCTATATCCTGAAATACCAATCATTCATCTATTTCTCCTTTCTACCTTGACATAAATTATCTTTTTTTATCTTTTCCTCCTCCTTCCTTTCTTCCTTCCTTCTTTTATTTCTCTATTTTCCATCTTCTTTTTTCTCAATCTTCTTCCTATTTTAACCCTCACTTACAGTAAGTTTATTAAATTTAACCACTATTTTTATTTATTCCAGAACTTTATTATAAGTTTATGCCTGAATTTGAGGGATCATGGAGAATAACTGCAACACATTTTKGGCTCTTAAAAGGTTGAATAGAAGAAGACTTGGTTCTGAAGTAATTATAATAAATAGGGTTCAGTGGCATATCTTAAAGTGGTACAGATATTGGGATCAGAAGAGGTCATACACTCACTTAAAGTATCAGTATCTGGATATTCATCCAACTCAGGGCTCTTATGAAAAAGAAGATAASAAAGTAGTCCTTCATTTAAAAGAAGAAGTAACATACAAACAATATAAAAAAGCAAAGGAAAAACCCATCACAAACAGTCCATAATACTTCATTAGCAGACTTCACTGACACCACAATGGAGGAAATGTCAGAGAAGGAATTTAGAAAGATCATAGTTAAGCTGTCATATGAGCTAAAAGATGTAAGAAATGAAATCAGAAAGAAAATTCAGGATGTAAAAGATCACTTCAATAAAGAGACAGAGATTCTGAAAAAGAACCAAATGGAAATCCCTGAAAGGAAGGAATCAATAAACCAAATTAGAAATTCAATGGAAAATATCACTAATAGATTACATCACTTTGAAGACAGATTTTCAGTTCTCAAAGATTGTATATAATCCTGAAAATAAAGCTGACCATAAGGAAAAGATGTTAAGAGACCCTGAACAGAATATTCAAGAAATCTAGAATAACACTAAAAACCCAAATTTAAGGTTCATTGGAATAGGTGAAGGCCCTGAAATACAAACTAAAGGAATATATAAACTTTTCAATGAAAAAAATATCAGATAATTTTCCAAATCTCAAGAATGAAATGGAAATTCAAATACAGGAGGCATATATGGCTCCAAATATACAAAATCCTAATAGATCTACACAATGACACATAATTTAAAAAATTCCTAACATACAAAATAAGAAAAGAATTTTAAAAGCTTTAAGAGAAAAATGTCTGGTCACATTTAGAGGTAAGCCAATCTAGATTTCAACTGATTTTTCAACCCAGACCCTAAAATCCAGGGGTGCTTGGAATAAAACATACCAAGCTTTGAAAGAAAATGGATGCCAATCAAGAATACTACACCTAGCAAAATTAAGCTTCAGAATTGAAGATGAAGTAAAAACCTTCCACAATAAACAAAAGCTAAAAGAATTCATAACTAGAAAGCTTATACTACACTAAACACAGTATATAAAACAGTTCATGAAGAAGAAATGAAAAATAACAACTAAAACGAGCACCATAGTCAATTAAATGAGAATCAAGTTCAATTTAAACTTTAGAAATAAAACAAAATGGCACGAAATAAAAATTACTGTCTCAATAATAACACTAAATCATTTATATAATCTAAAATTCAGTCAAAATACATAGACTGGCAGATTGGATTAAAAAAGTGAACTCTAACACTATGCTGCAAGAGACTTATATCACAGGCAAAGACATCCATATACCATTTACATGGGTCTGGTAAACAAACATTTGATGCTATTCTAGTATGAAATAAAGTGATTTCAAGCGAAGATTAATCAGAGGAGAAAAAGAAGGTCATTTCTTACTGCATTAGGGAATCATACACCAACAAGATACAATGATGGTGAATATTTAAATCCCAAACAATGAAACATCTATGTACATTAAACAAATCCTTCTCAATATTAAGAATCAAATAGGCCTCAATATAATATTCTAAATTTGGATGAAAAACCTTCCCAAGTAAGTCTTCATGTTAAATTATAAAAGAAAACTATTAAAAAGAATATAGTACTTCTCCACAGCAAATTATAACTTGTGTATAAGAAATACTAAGAATAATATAAATGTCATATCTGTTTTAAAAACTTGCTACTATCTAAACAAGAGCCACATCTTATGCCCTGAACCCATATTATATATGAAATAATTCTAAAATATTTTCCTAAACATATTCTCTATTATGTTACATATAATTATAAATTGGAAACAATTTCCATTAGAACAAGTTTAAAAAGTTTAGATTTTCTTCTAAATCATTCAAATGAAGATTAGAACCATTAAATTTAAGGACTTTTTTGTATTTTATAATGATATTTTCTAAATAAGTTTGTAGTCACAGCTTTACTTCCAACTATGATAATTAACCCATGAGTTATTTACATTTAATTTATTTTAACTCACCTATGAGAAACTGCTCCCCAAGCACCATGTTTATTTGTGAGAATATTGAGAATCTTCTGTTTCAGCTGATTTGCTGTTACATGATCACGATGTTTAGCAGCGCTAATAAGATGGTCACACATCTTTTCTTCCTCTCTTCTATCAGCAGCATATTGGGCACACTGGGACTGAAAAGAAATACAATGTATAATAATAAAATTTTTTACCGTGTATAAAAGATTTGATCTCTAACAGTAAGTGAAAAGGTAATAACAACTCAATCTGAAAAACTCACATAATGTAATTTTCTATCATTTTGTTCTAAAGAACACATGTAGTTGTCTTTCAAATTGGTAAATATGTTCTTTTGTAAGTATGTGTAAAATAATTTGTTTAACTTTAAATAAAGTAATCAGAGACTTTTATGATTCTGTTTAGTTCTAGAAATATGACTTCCTTGTCCAGAAACTATCATTCCACAAACAGAAATGGCTTCCTAAAAAGGAAAATCTACTTGATATTTTAATCATTATAGCACATCTCACTTGAAAGGTATGCTCCTGATAATCACATATAAATATAAAAATTGTCATATAATTTATAGTTTTTTATTTCATGAATGGCCACATGGTATAGAAGAAAAAATAAGTGATTTGGGAATTCAGCAGACCTGAATTTTAATTCACACTTTATGCAAACTTCATTTTTTTCATTGTACTTAGTTTCATTTATGTAAAATAAGGAGCTAAGACAAGATTTTTCTCCGTGTTTATTTCCAAATTTAAAATCTAATGTGTTCAAAAGGTCTCATGAGAATTAGTCCCTTATTCTTATCTTTCCTTTTTCATAATAATCAGTTGTCATGTCAGCTGTCTGTATTCTTGCTCACATTAGCAACACAGTTTATAAATGAATCCCTTTGTGTATCAAAAAGATCCAATATAAACATGAAAAGGAGAATCTCTTTAAATGTAACTTTTATTTTCTATATAGTATTTTTTTGAACAGACCAATTTGACTAAAAATTCCAGCATTAGCAAGTGTGTAATACAAGTCATATAACTAAGAATAAAAAAGTCTCATATATCTGAGAAAATATAACTATTCCCATTCATCATAACTATGCAAAAATCTACTTCACAGAAGGTATCTGAACACTTCCTTTTGTCTATTCATATAGAAAACTACCACAAGTCATCGTTTTTTAGAGAAATAATCTTATAGTAATCTATGAAGGATTAATTCATTTTCCAATTTATCTTTTTGTACAGGGAATTACCAATTAGTACAAAGATCTGCCTTGGTAATGAGGTTAATATTTCATTAGTTCATTGGAGAGTAAAATTAAATTTTCATTTTTCTTCCTTAACAATTACAGTATTAAGTTAAAAAAAACGTAACTGTGAAGTACCCATTTAAAATTAAATATACTATTTCTCCTAATTTTAGGCTTGTACAGGGGTAGAGAAATCCATCAAAAAGTCCTAGTATAATGTCATGACTTTTGTAAAATTTTTTACAATTTCAAGGTCATGTGTTTGGTAAACTAAGCGAACACGAACGTGTGCACACACACATAAATCAATGTATTTATTAATACGCTCTAAAAGCAAATGTAAATACTTGTGTTAAAAAACAATATTCACTCAATTCTTTCAAAATTAGATTTACATTAACATTATATGCTATGTATATCTAATCTAAAAACCATTAATTCTTCATGTCTCCTTCAAAACCTCTTATCACTCTAGGCCATGAATTCATAATGGGAGTGATCTCACCCTTAGCAGGGTATAAATTGGTGTTTGTAGGGGTGTGAAAAAAACCTTCTTTTAATATATTACGTACAGATGCAAAGAAAGATTCCAAACAGACATACAGCATGTTAGTGGTGTGAAAAATTCTCTGGGGGTTGGGGAGAAGTTAGGAAAAAAAAGTCTAAAAAGATTCCTCAGAGGGTAATAATAATAACAATAACAATGGTCGAGAAACAGTGTCCTTAGCTTAAACATGTATTAAAGCTCATAACTAATACTGTTTGAAAATCTATTTTAAATGTTCTCAAGTGACAAATATTGATCTGCTTATTTCTTCACAAAATATCCTGATTTTCTTGGTGTATCTTGATTGCCTCAAAATTGATCCTGCAAACATTCAGTTAATATTCTTTATCTTATTTAACAACAGAAGTTGAAAGTTAACTGAATATTTTTATTTCATTGAGTTCTGACATGTCTTATACCTAATCATATTCTTTCAAAAAACACATAACTCAATTTTTTCTTGGCATCCAAGTTACAATATGATACTCTGATAAATATCCAATGATTTTTATTGCTCAAGTGATACAAAACTTCCCTTTGACAAACACCTGTCACTATACTTTTATCAAAAAGTTTAAAATATCTAGTATTCTTTTTCTAAATAAGGTTGTTACAATTCCATAAGATAAGTGCCTGCTGTCTCATCTGACCAAATGAAGCAGAGGTTATGTGTATGAAAGCGACAATAGCTATTTTCTGTCTCATGCTTTTCAGCTGGCTGGGTCAGAGATCACTAGACCTAGTCCATCAACTTGTATGACTTGGAGAGCTGCTTTACTGAGATAAAAACCTCATCAAAACTGCAATTGTGGGCTCTGATTTCAAGCCATACCACACTTGTTGGCATGTTGCATCAGGAGAATAAATTGGTGAAGTTATTTATTACTTTCAAGGTCACCGAGAGTCCAACCTAAGCCAAATGTCAGGTCACCTGAATATGTCTGAAAAGCACTTAGTTTTGTAAACTGAATGAACTGAAATACTGAATAAACTGAAATACTGAATAACTGCTATCTTTAAAACACTGAAATTATATTTGTTGAATCCTATATAAGGTCATTCATAAAAACATATGATATCCTCAYGTCTATCTTGTGGTTTATAAATCTTGCTAGCTCAAAAGTAACAGTAACTGTATTATAAAATTTATTTTGCCTTTAGTTATTTACTCTTTACTTCTGCTTTAGAGTAAAGTTAAAATACCTTCATTGGACCAACAGGGATTTCTTCAGGTTGTAAATAAGGTAGAAACAAACTAGTGTTTTGTTGGACATTCATTAAAGCATCTCAAAACAAGACCTAAAATCCTTTCTGTAAAAATTCCTTCTTAAAAATATTCCTTATGGCCAAGTGGCACATGCCTATAATCCCAAGTGGCTCAGAAGTTCGAGGCAGGAGGATTGCAAGTTCAAAGCTAGCCTCAGTAATTTAACAAGGCCCTAACCAACTTATTGAGAACCTGTCTCACAATAAAACATGGGGGATGTGACTTATAGTGATTAATCAGTCCTGGGTTCAATCCCTGGTCCCAGAATTTTAAAAAAGAAAAAAAATCTTATGTAAAGTTACAAATGAGTAATGGGATTCTTACAACAGCAAAGCACAATTTAATTAACTCCCTAATTTTTACCTCAAATTCTGCATGTTTATGTACATCTTCAGCTCTCTGTCTGTTCAAAATAAACTCAGCTTCATTTGCAACACGAACTATATGGTCCTTCATAGCATGGCACAGTAATCTAAAAAGAAAAATACATTTTGAATTAATGTTCTTAATAGCTTTGTTTAGTCCAACTATTTTCAATTATCAAATTCCACTATTTCAAATATTATTTATACATAAATATTAAGATTAGGAAACTAATATATTTTAAGTTACAATTCCATGAAATATGAAACATAGTAATATGCCATAAAGCTGTTTCAGCAAYGCCTCTCTTAAACAGTGTTACATGTGAACCAGTGACTCCTTTAATTCAATAAAGATAGTTAACTGAATAAAAATCAAGGATTTGGGCTGGGTGTTTTAAAATGGTTAAACAGCTGATTTTACCATCATGGAAATTAGTTTTCACACATAAGCTTAAAGACCACATATTAGGAAATAAACAGAATGGATTCTCATTTTAATTAACATAGGTTAAAGGCCTTACTTCTAAATTTCCTTTAAATACTGGGACTACAGTAAATTAAAATTTTAAAGCAATTTAAGTTATATATTATATATTTGAAGATTCAAGTTGTTTTTAAAATGTGTAGTAAGATAGTAAAAAACCTCTTATATATTCCCTAGTCAACTAATTTCCAACCTCAAAAGGTATCCATTGTTCATTTCTTACGTATTTTCACAGACTTTTAAAATACACATAAAATATTATTTTCCAACACTAATATTATTTAATATATAGTCTGTCCTGTATCTAATTTTTCTCACTTAGCAATACTATTTGGCGATATTTTCACATCCAAAACAGGAAAGAAACTTCAGTTTCTTTTGTAACTTGTGTCAGAGGTTATTTCCAAAGATGCTGCCACAGTATTTCTCATACACATGTTCTTCTGCAGTGGTAACTCATCATTGCCCCATCATAAAGTGGAGTCTTTCTACTTCCCTTAGATAGGGGCTTGCCCCCTGACTTACTGTACCAACAGAATACAGGAGAAGTGATGCTATGTGGTTCCTGAAGCTAAGAAATAAGATGCTTTGCAGCTTTTAACTTTTGGAACTCTCTCTCTGGAGTATGCCACCAGGTTGCAAGAAGCATACATCACAGTAAAAGTCTTTTGAAGAGAAGAGAGGTGCTCTAGCCCTTGGGCCAAGATGAGCTATCAGACCAAAGCCAATCTCCCACATAACTGCAGGCCCAGGTAACTGACAGAGCAAAACAACTTCTCAGGTGTGCTCAGTTGATGAGAACCACCGGGAAGAGGGAGAGAAGATGAGGAAGAAGAGGAGGAGGAAAAGGAGGAAATTGATTATAACAATTATTACCAAACCATTTATAGAGAGCAATGTAAATGAACTAGGAGTGTATATTCTTAATTCTTACAGAATCCTCAGATGTATCATCATTTCATTTTTAAATATAAGAAATCAGTGCTCAGAACAATTAAGTACTTTGTCCTAAACCATAGTTTTTAATACTTTCCATAATTTTAATTTTATATTTCATCTTCATTAAATAACATTTTCAAAGTAAAATTTTATTTACTTCTGCAATTCTCCTTTATATGACAAATGAACATTATTTTTTCATTTTGTCAATTAAAAACAGAGATTAAGCCTTTGTTTTTACCTTATTAAATATCTCCTTTTGCAACTAGAAATTATTTATTATAGAAAAATCAAGGTATAGTTGAAAAGTTAACTTCATTTTCTTCTGGATTTTCTTTAAAGGGTAAACTTATAAAGCATTTTCTATAATTAAGGTATTAGAACCTCCAGTTCTTTGATCTATTTCATCTATATCCTTTTAAAATCCAATCCTAACACTCATATTTACTCATTGTTGTTTTTTTTTCTCCTGAGATTTTAACCTAAAGAATTATTTTCGATCATAATTTCTTATTTTCACGTTCCTTAATGAAATGAATCATCACTTTTTTTTTTGCTTAAGGTGTCATGAATTTCAATTAGAATGGAATACATTTAATGCTATTTTAATTTTTGTATTTATTTCCTACTATATCTAGTATTTCCTACTATATCTTCACTACATTCTATGTACCTATGGTACATTTGTCTCCTTCAATAACACATCTATGCAAAAGGAAAAAATTGGTATATGTCCTGATATTTCTAAGTTTTTGATTAAGTAGAATTTTTAAAATTTCTTCTAATTAGTTATACACTTTTAAAAGCTACGTATGTCTTTCAGGTAACTAATGTATTAACGTTGAATTACATTAGCACTGTTGTAATATTATTCTACTACATTATCTGCAAGATTTTTGTAACATCTTCGACAAAAACTAACAGGTAAATGGTTCCTTTATTGCAGGGTAATCATATACATTCTGAACAGCACTGAATTCAAGATAGCCCTAAGTAGGAATTTTCCAAAATCTATGACTGCTCTAATGTAGATATAATTACTCCATGATCGGATCTGGGTAAAAAAAAAAAACTACCCTGCCTCTCTAGGAGCAGTGAGAATAGTTCTGGCAGCATGAGAGAGGCACTACTGAAATCTTACACTGCAGCAACATAGATGGAGATATTTCCAGAAAGCAGGGGGCAATGATGTCTCCAGTCATTTCAAGAGACACAGGCACATTTCATGCAAAAGCCATCTAATTTCAGTCCCCAAATTCACCACAACACAAATTTTTGAGAGAACACAAAGTGACAGGAATCTGTTAGAAACAACAATATTTGGGAGGAAAAGGTGTAGACTCCTCTGTAAATAATCTTGGAAGGCAAAATCACATAGTATTAATCTGTTCCTGAAGAAGATGGAAAAATAAGAAGTTATATAGGTTTGATTCCCAGAAGGAAGAAACAGAGAAAGGGAGGGATGGAAGAATTCAGGGAACAAGGGAGTGAGAGAAAGAAGGAAGGATGGATGAATAGATTAGCTTTTGATGAAGTTACTGACTTACAGTTAGTAGACAGGCTAGAGATTAGATGTGAGATAATGGAGCATTCACTATTCAACATATTTGTCTAACACATGCTAAAGGCTTAAAAAAGCCAGGAAGAAATCTAATATGTATAAATTAGTGCATATTACAAAACTTAAATAGATTAGCAGGAGACAGCAAGAAGGGAAAGTTTCATGGTTGGGCTGGTTAATAGGTACAAAGAAGGGGATTTGGGGGATGTATAACAAAGGACTCTTGCAGAGACACCAGAGAAAATGTATCAATTATCTGGAAGTCTGTCCTATCTACAGCATTTATGAGTTATATGTCAACTAATCTATATATTTTTTTATTTACAAAGAGAAGCGGACATCTTCCCATCATTCTGGGAAACCCCATTATCCAATGTAGCTCAAAATTTCCTAACCTTTGTATTACCATGATCTTCATTTCTAATCTACTGGCCATACATGACTTCACTTCTTAATTTTTTTTTTTTTGGCACTCAGGATTAAACCCAGAGTTATGTTACCACTGAGCTAAATTCCCCATCCTTTTTATTTTTTTGAGACGGGTCGGTTGCTGAAGCTGATCTCAAACTTGAGATCCTCCTGCATCAACCTCCTGAGTCACTGGGATCACAGGTGTGTGCCATTGCTTCTGGTTGCTGCTTAAATCTTGAACCTTCTAGAACCTGCTCTCAGATCACAACCTTCTACCCCTGCTGTTCACTCCCCATCACTAGTCCAAACCCCTACCTCAGGCAAAAACAAGCTTTTGAATTCCTCTAACATTCTGTTCTTCAATTCCTCCATTTTTCTTTTAGTGTCTATCTCCTGCACAAATTCACTCCCTTTCCTGTGTCCCACAATTCCACACTTTAACCATACTCTTGCCAGAACCTTTACTCAATTTATGACCTATCTGCTATATTAGCTCTGAAAATATGTTATTGTTGACTAAGACATTGGTCTCCCTCCTCGGTCCTAAATGTGTACTAAGAAACACACAACACCAATTTTATTGATGATAAAACTTGTATTTCTTTTTCACAATTTTTTTTACTCAGTTTTTGAGAAGTGGCATGAATGTCTTTCCTACTCTAATCTCAGTCATCTTAGAAAAATCATATAAGTTACAATGAATAGAGATATCCAAAAAATTCTTACGCCTATTAGCAGTGAGTACCAATTTCCTCTTTCTGGTAAATACTAATCTACATTCTGTCTCTGATTTTCCGATTCTATATATTTCATTTAAAAGGATTCATACAAGATATGGCCTTTTATGTCATGTAGTATATTTTCTAGGTTCATCTGTGTCATGGCATGCATCATCAGTAGTACCTCATTCTTTTTAATGGTCAAATAGTATTACATTGCTGAATGTATCTTCATTTGATTACCCATTCATCAGTTTATGGACATCTGAGTTGTTTACATTTTTTGCATACTTTGAATAATCCTGTTACCAACTTTTGTGTCAACATATTTTCAGTTCTCTTGAGAATATACCTAAAAGTGGAAGTGCCAAGTCATATGGTAATTGTGTTTAACTTGTTGAGGAAACAGCTAAATGTCTTCCATAGTGGTTGCACCATTTACATTCCTACAGACAATGCCTGGCAATTGTAATTTCTGCAAATCCCTGCTGATACTTTTTATTGTTTACTTAAACAATAGCAGCCACTTTATGGAATGTGAAGTGGCATGGCATACACCCCCTCAATCCTGCCTCTGGTTATTAGGGAATGAACCAAGGCTTTTAACACTGAGCTCCATCCCCAGTTCTCCTTTATGTTGACACAGGGTCTTTCTGAATTTCCGAGGCTGGCCTTAAACTTGTGATTCTACTGTCTCAGCCTTTCAAGTGGCTGGGATTATAAGCATGTGTCAAAATATCTGGTTTTTACATCTTAAAATTAATTCTTCCAAACCATTATTATAGATGGTATTTTCATTTATTTATGGCTTTTTAATTTCTTTCAATGATGTTTCAAAGTATTCAACGTGCAAGTCTTTAACTGTTTTTGGCTAAAGTTATTCCTAAGTATTATATTTTAAAAATTTAATTGTAATTGGAATAAAATACACATAAAATTCATCTCAACCTATTCTAAGTGTTCTGAACAGTAACATCAAGTATATTCAGTTTG